TAAAAACTATACACATACACATAGAGATTTTAATAAAACTTTTGTTATCAAGTTTTATTATTTCAACAAGTGTTGCTGTCAGCTAATAATCCCTAGAGTGGCCATCATGAAGTGTTCCAATAATTGGATTTTAATTAAGAAATTCACTTAGTCCTACACTGTTTTCAAAATCTAATTATGTCTTCAGGAAACTCACCCAAGTTGTGGTATTTTCTGGACAGTGTACAGACTCAGTACAGACTCCTTCCATTACTTTAACTTCTTTTCTTTTCTTTTCTTTTCTTTTCTTTTCTTTTCTTTTCTTTTCTTTTCTTTTCTTTTCTTTTCTTTTCCTTTCCTTTCCTTTCCTTTCCTTTCCTTTCCTTTCCTTTCCTTTCCTTTCCTTTCCTTTCCTTTCCTTTCCTTTCCCTTTCCTTTCCTCTTATATTTCCTGTACTGCCACTGTAGAAAATTGTCAAGAACTAATGGATGAAATAAATGTGGAATGCAAATACAAATCTCTGTTATACACATTATGTTAGAAAAGAAGCTCCCTATGCAAAGAAGGTGAGAAAGCGTTTTTACTTATTATACTCATGATCTTGAGATCCCCCCCACCCCTTGAATTTAAAGGCATTATTAATGAGAAAATCCCGTAGATAAACTTGGCTGTAAATTTTATTCATATAAACAATAATTTATGTCTCACCTCATCTCAAGTATTTTGGGAAAAATCCTGAGTACATATGTGCACACTGAGTGTCACCTGGAATAAGTCTTGTGAAGCCTATAGGCTTGCTCATATTTATATCACAGAAGCACTGAGTGATCCAGACACTGCTGTTTGTACATTACCTTTTAGTCTTCTTTGATGCTGAATGTCACATCTCACTCCAACATCGTGTGAGTCCTCATGACATAGCAACAGGAGAAATAATTAAGAACACCATGAATTCAGAGCATTTCTCTTGAAGTGGTTGGAGTATTCCTGTATTTTTCCATATAGAATACAGAGTAACACCACTTTGTGGTATGTCTTCGACTGTAAGTAGGCAGAAATCAGTGTAATAAAAATAAAAGTCTCACAGAGATATTTTTATATTTAGAAATATGAATGGTACATACAGTCATATTCTGACCTTGAAAGAATGGAAATAAAATGTGACAAGTGACTGTCTAGTATTTATACTAACCATAAAAATACTCTGTTCAAACATGAAGATTTCCTTGAAACAAAAGAAATCTATTTAAAATGTGAAGAAGGGAAAGGATAAGAAGAAAAGGTCTGATGAATTAATGGTTGACAATATGAAGAACATTTCAGTAAGATTATTTACATGAGTGATATGAGGCATCTGGCCTGTACACTGCGTAGTACAAATATAGAAAAGCTGTGGAGGCCATAATCTGTCATTGTAGTGCGTATGCAACTCCAGTTGAATTCAATAGTACTTCAACATGCATATAGATGAGATGATACTTGCTTATAGCACAGGCTGATTTTTTTGTTTCAAGACAGCCATTGTTAACACTTTAATATAACCTTTACAGAGATGAGGCAAAACTTCATTGACTTTAACAGAGGTAAAATTCCCGACGGAGGCATTGGCTGTAACCCTGAAACACTGGGAAAAAAGTCTGATTAAGAGCAGACCGAAAAATGGTGGTTAAGCTGTATCGGTTTTTCATCTTCTTAGACTTGTTTTAGCCCTTAGTACTCTGGCCCACCTTTGCCTTCTTTGCTTTACTTTCTTTTTTCTAAGCAGTATTTCCAAAATAAGAAACATGGCCTATATGAATAGTATTGCATGGGATTCAGTTCCATTTACTATTTTTATTTCGTATATAACTGTCCATGTTTAGGCAGCTTAACTACTTTGTGCAGTAAGTTCAGCACAGCCATTTGATATTTATCATTACAGCACTGTATTTTCTTCTGGTGCCTCAAGCAATTAAACCACATGCCCATCTTCCATTGGAACCTGTGGCAATTATTAATCACTTGCCATTGTCTTCGGATTTTCTGCTTGTGACCCTTTCAGCTCTGCAAGCCAGGAAGCTATCTTTGCAGTAACAGGGAAGATGTCTAAAGGTTAGAATGTATTTCAAAGCTTTAAAAATAGTCCAATTACGTTTTAAAGTCTAACTGGTCTTTTTTAAAGTCCATTACTAAAGCCGGAATTTGTGATTCTTTAAAACCTTGTTACCTGACACTACCTTGCTGGGGACCTTATTGCTAAGATGACAAACAGCATCCAGACGGTTGAAATTAAAATTCACTTTAAAAAATCTCATATTCTGCTTAAGCTGCTGTACCAATATTGCAGAATCAGATAAAAGTCAAAAGACTGTGTCCAAAAATCCTAAATGTCAGATTTTCATAAGCATTTCATTCCCTTTGAAAAAGTATCACATGTTCACAGCTGGAATATTTTGGAGCCTGCTTCCCCCCCCTTCCCCCCCAAACAAAAAAGATCAATCCAGGCTCCCATATGCTCCTTGCTCCTTTCTTCTGGAGTGACAATGGAGAGAAGGAGCAGTCCAAACAGCATTTCTGAAGAAAAGCTCAGTTCCACTGTAGTTAAAGAATTTGTCCCAGTGGCCTTTGGCTGAGGAGGTCAGCTGAAGAGCGAAGAAACCCTCAGTGAAGCCAATGGGACGTTGGATCAGTCCAACCTGACAGAAAACAGGTTTGTCCATCCTTAAGAACTTTGCCTCAAGAGCCTGCTGACAACTCAAGTAGATACCGTACAGACTGCTTGTTCATATAAGACCTTGCTGAATTCACAGGGGGAGGAAATTTTATTGGGTCAAAGTAAAGAGAAGCCATGCTTGTGATTCCAACAAAGCCAGGAGTTCCTCCGCAGTGCTCCCCTACATGAGACATAAGGATCTGAATGAGAAAGTCTGGGAGAACTTTCTTCTATTTGGCCAGCTGAAGGAATAATTATTCTCCAAGGACTACTTCCTTGTCGCCTCCAATATGAAGACATTAATGATCAGACCTTGGAGCAGCTGAATCAAGTTACACAGACTGTAGAGTTGAATTGTTCTCCCTTGAAGAGGGGATTGTTCCTTCCTGAAGAAATGATGTCTTCCTCAGGAACATGACCCACTGAAATCTGTTAGACTTTGCTTTTGCTTTTGCTTTTCTACTCCATATTAACCTGGCAATCTCATATCTAAGGTAAGAGTAGCAACCATGCTGGGTCTAAATATTTAACAGGAGCTTATTGCAAAGATCAGCAGTATGCTCCATGCAGCTTATGGCAAGTTTGTTCTATGCGAAGAGAGCAAATCTATCTATCTATCTATCTATTTGTGTATCTATGCATCTATCTATCTATCCCTAGGTTGATCGTTAAGTGTGGACAAAGCCCCTCACTTCTGGGGAAGTAAGAGTGGCATAGATGGGAAGGAGGGAGTTGAGAGGGAAAAGTCGGCTGTGATTTTTTATTTGTTACCCATTTGAAACAAGAAGTCCCTAGGCAGCTTTAGCCTGTACTGTAACGCAGAAGCTGTCTGGAGGGGCAGGGTGACAGTATGATTCCTTGCAGGCTGCACGCTTCTGTGCAAAGCCGTGACGTGAGCATCCCACATGCCTAGCAGAGCGATGGTGCTGGAGACATATGGAGGTGTCCATCTTCCAGGTGTTTGGAGCAGAAATGGCCATGGGGGAGGCTCTGGTGCAGCTCTTTCAAAGAGTGCTCATTGCCTTCCCCCTCCTCTCCCCGTTCCCCTTTTGCTACAGCATTCCAAACCGAGACCCCCAAATTAAAACAGTATTTTACAGCTTGGTACCGAAGCCTCAGATTGCAGATATTAATTACCAGGACATGCTCTGAGGGAAGCAAGGATTTGGCAGGACAACTGAAGTCCTCTTTTTCTCTCTCATTTGCCACTCCGTACAGCATGCTGGCTTGCTTCTTGGTCCCCCTTTGGGAGGTGATAAATCTGAGTTTTGCTATCGAGGCTGGGCATCTGGTAAGGCTACCCTGTGCTGTTGGTATCCTCCCCTTCACCCCGTCCCAGTGTCGCGCTGGTAATGATACGGTTTGGGGACTGTAAGAGGGCAAGGAAAAACCCCGTAGGACTCCTTGTAAAGAAGAAGAAAACCAAGGTCGACGAGACCTTTCCCTTTGCGTGACAGCTGGTGGGATTAGCCACAGCGCGGGGCAGGGATGAGCTTTCCAGCTTCACTCCGAGGGGCTGTCCAGCTACAGGTTCTCGCTTGCGGGGGAGAAGCAACCCTTGAATCCGAGAGCTTGGCTCCCGCAGCCGTCACCCAGCTCTGCTCCAAGATCCCGCCACCTCAGCGCCTGCCTGCTTGGCGGGCGCCCGCTGCCTTCCCAAGCTAAGCAGCGCTGTCGTTCCACGGGACCCCCCCGCCCCGAGGGAGGTGGAAAAAACTAAAATGGAAGGAGCGGAAGAGGAAAGAGGTGCTCTCCCGGGCTCCTTCCAGGCGCTGGGCAGAGACCCGGCTCCCGCGGGCTGGCGGAGAGGGAAACGGGCTGCGTCCCAGGCGGCAGCGCGGGCAGCGGGCAGGCAGCGCGGGCAGC